TATCTGGTCACCTCTCATTTTCACTTTGCTGGTCTTGCTTCCAATCTCTGGAATAATCGTCTCGGCCATCCTAGTCCTTCTATCTTGCAGTCTTTTCATAAAAATAAGTTCATTAGTAGTGAACATTTGAATACTAAGACAATTTATAATTCTTGTGTGTTTGGAAAACAAGTTAAGTTACCTTTTAATTCGTCCAAAAATGTTACTTTAATGACTTTTGATATTTTACATAATGATTTATGGACATTACTAATTTTTAGCTCATTTGGTCATTGATTTTATGTTTTATTTCTGGATGATTATTATGAATTTTTTATGGACATTTCCTTTAAGCAACAAGTATCGAGTTTCTGAAAAGTTCACCTCACTTTTTAGTTAATTTCACATATAATTTTCTCAAACTGTTAAATATTTTCAATGTGATAATGGACTTGAATGTGATAATTCACTATTTTATAAATATTGTGTTGATAATGGTATTATTTTTCGTTTCTCTTGCGCTCAAACTTCATCACAAAATGGCAAAGCAGAACGTAAAATACACACCATTAACAACATAATTCTCACTCTTCTTGCTCATTCATCCTTCCCTTCCTTGTTTTGGCATCACACACTTTAAATGACCACCTATATTCTTAATATCCTTCCCCCTAAAAAATTGTCCAATTACTCCCCTACCCAACTTCTGTATCATCTTGATCCATCCTACACACACTTTCGCGTCTTTAGTTGTCTTTTTTATCCATTGTTTCCACCCACTGCCATTAATAAACTACAACCATGCTTGATCCCATGTGTCTTCTTAGGGTATCATACTAATAATAGAAGTTACAAATGTTTTGATCTGTCGCACAAAAATATCATCATTTCACGACATGTCATATTTAATGAGACACAATATCCCTTTGTCCATATGCCTTCCCCATATCTCACCATACATGACTGCTTCACTGATAACTTACACCTATCTATTGTCCATCAATGGAAAAATCCCACCTTGAAACCTCTTACCAATAACCATCCCATACATGACCATCAATCTATATCACCAGTCAAACCACATCATTCCTATCAAACCTCCTCCACCGCTACAACATCCTCATCCCCCTCCACAGCTACACCCAATACCTCTTCATCACCTACACTACTGACCCAACCAGCACCACCTACTAGGACTATCACCACCCGTAACATGCAGGGTATCTACAAACCCAAAAAACTCTTTAGCCTTTTTGTTACCATTGATGATCCTACCATCTCACCTCTTCCCAAAAATCCCAAGCTAGCCATATTTGACCCAAATTGGAAATCCACAATGCAGCCTGAAAATTTAATGATCTTATTAAGAATAATATGTGGGATTTGGTTCCACGACCTTGTGATGTTAACATTATTCGCTGTATATGAACTTTTCGCCATAAAAAAGACATCTAATTATTGTTTTGAGCGTTATAAAGCTCGTCCTGCAGGTGATGGAAGATCACAAACTGCAGGTGTAGATTGTGATGTGACATTGAGTTATGTGGTCAAACTAGCAACTATTCACACTATTCTCTGTCCAAGTCATGGCCTATTCATCAGCTAAATGTCCATAATGCATTTCTACATGGTTATATTAATGAGACAATCTATATGCATCAACCACTGGGTTTTCATGATCCTTATCATCTAGATTATATGTGTTACTTGTGAAAATCACTCTATGGTCTTAAGCAAGCGCCTCGTTTCTAGTACCAGTGCTTTATTGACTTTGTCGCCACTATTAATTTCAAGATAAAACCTCTAATCACCCACTCTCCATCTACCTTCATGGCTCCGATATGGCTTACATATTACTTTATGTTGATGACATCATTCTCATCGCCTTCTCTCATAACCTATGCAAATTTATCATGGCACTCATTGCCTCTAAGTTTGCTATGAAGGATCTGGGATTGTTGAGCTATCTTTTGGGTATTGTAGTGACCAAACATGCATAAGGATTGTTTCTTAGTTAGAGTACCTACACCAATGTCATTATTGACTGAGCAAGCATGGCCTCATGTAAACCATTCACTACTCAAGTTTACACAAAGCAAAAGCTTAATACCTTTGTTCGCACTTCATATGATGATCCTACATTATATTAGAGTATTACCAGTGCTTTGCAGTATCTCACATTTACCCTTCCTGACATCTCCCATGTTGTTCAGTAGGCGTGTCTTCACATGCATGCTCTCTGTAATGGACACATGCTTGTACTGAAATGCATCATGCGTTACATTTAGGGCACCTTATAATATGATTTGCATTTATATCCTTCTCTCATTGAAAAACTTGTTTTATACACAAATTCCGATTGGGGTGGGTGTCCCGACACTCGTCGATCTACTTTAGGTTATTGTGTTTTTTCTTGGTGACAATCTAATTTCATGGTCTTCCAAGCGACAACCCACACTTTCTCGTTCCAGTGCAGAGGCTAAGTACCGAAGCATTGCTAATGCAATTTCATAATCATGTTGGCTCCACAACCTTCTCTTGGAGCTTCATTTTTCTATTTCCTAAACCACTCTTATGTACTCTGACAAAGTTAATGATATCTACATATCTGGTAACCCTATCCAGCATCAGCGTACAAAACACATTGAGATGGACATTCACTTTGTTTGGGAGAAGGTAGCTCGTGGTCAAGCTCGGGTTCTTCATGTTCCTTCCTGACACCAGATTGCAAATATATTCACCAAAGGGCTCCCTAAAGTTCTCTTTGATAATTTTTAGACCAGTCTAAATGTCCGTCAACCTCCCGCTTCGACTGTGAGGGTGTGATAAAATATGTATTTATTTATAAATAAAATATGTATTTATATTTGTATATAAGTCCCATATAGACCATAACATGTAATGAGTTATAAATCTCTCTCTATATAATACAATATTCGTAGTGCTATTGTCACTCGGTTGATCTCAATATCTTACATCATTAATCTTTCATTTAACCTGAATTTACGAAAATATGTATATCTATGCAGAAAATATATGTAATATAAGTATATACCCCTGATTGTGTTATGAAAGAACTTAACTTATCTATCAAAACAAGTGCAAATCCATGCTTATAAAAGATCAAAAGGGAGTATACAAATATGACTTTTTCATCGTTATGACTAGCTTCTTCTTAGTCAAATTATCAAATAATGTAAATAAATTTAGAGGAAAGTATTTAACTACCTATAATCCAATGACATAATGTTCACTTTAATTGCTTATCTTTAACTAGTCATCTCACCCTGTGCGATACACAAGACAAATTATGGATAAATATTGTACATGAGCATTTTTTTAATAAATTTTTTGTTGATTGAATAATTGAAGTATATAGAAATTAGTGGTAGAGTAATGATCTAGAGTAATTAATATTAAATAACATTTATTGGAAAGAGAAAAGAAAATAATGTGATTAAAAACTATTTCGACTAGATTTTACTCAAAATTTGGCGCCTAAGCGTGTATTCTGTTTTAATATATTAAGCATGTCATATTGATGATTCTATTTTAATTTCTATTTGTCCATTTATGGCAGCAAAATCAAATACATTTGACTAATGTTTGTGACAACTTTGAACTCTTATTTTGATAGGGCTCTCTAATAATTCACAAAATTACATATCCGAGAAGTAAAAAATCATTAATATCAATAAATTAAAGAATGTCCAAATACTAAAACAATCAAATGACCAAATTCATGTACAAATTTTGTAAATAAAAACATTGAGCAATATAAAAATGTTTATCTAGAGGAGAGAATGACAAGTTCATACTTAGTGATAAACACAATTTTATATATAAGAGGCCTATTGACCCTTACATTGAAATGACTCGAAGAAGAAGAACCCATATACACCCTCGCTGAAGTACAAAAAGGGATTGTCAAACATTATCTCGGTGCTAGGGCTCTAGCTAAAAAGGTTATTAGGTTCGAATATTACTGGTCTTCCATGGTCCAAGACGCCAAATATTATGTGGAGAAACATGAACAATGTTAGAAGAACCAAGATGTTCGCAATGCCCCATCGTTCGAGTTACATGTGTTGACTTCCCTATGACTTTTCTCACAGTAGGGCATTGACATCCTTGGTCCCTTTCCTATGGCCTCGAGACAACTGAAATTCTTGATTATGGCAGTTTACCACTTCACAGAATGGTAGAAATTGAGGTTTTAGAAAAAATCACAACAACTAACATATATGAATTCTTCAAAAGACACACTAGAAGAAACTTCTCGAGGATCTAAAGGTTAAATAACATTTCACATCAATAGAGAATCCTCGTACAAATGAGTTATGTTGATAGGGATAAAAAGAAAACTTGAAAAATCCCAAAGAAACTTGTTTGATGGACTTGTGTGAGCCATTTCTTTATTAATTTTAAATAAAGTTTAACTTTGATCTCGACGTCATATTTATAAACTATTTTACAGTTTATTTTGATAAAATTTTAACGATAGTTTATTTGACTATAGAAGTAACTTGAATATAAATATTTATGAGATAAATACTTATTTTAAATGAGCTAAGTCAGATTATTCATACAAACTAGCCTCAAATACTTAAATTATGTTTTTATCTAGTCAATCTCTCAACAAATAAATGTTACAGCCAAACAAAAAAAAAAGAAACTTCCGAATGCTTTAGTTCAAAATAAATAAATAATTTAAATAATTATTTTTAATTCCTTACGAGTGTATTTAGAAAAAACGACAATGCTAGTAGCAATTCGCGTGGGTTTATCGAAATACAATACCCCGTAAAATGCATATGCCCTAGTTTTTCTTTCTCTTCAAATCGCGCGCGCTCCTCCTCCTTTTAGCCGGCAACCACCGCTGCGGCGTAGTTCGTCGTCGGAGTCTCACTTCCACCACCTCTCTCTTGAAATCATAGAAAGAGAAATCTCCGAAACCCTAAAATTCTGAACTAATTAATAATCCCTAATTCTCCCGTCGAGTTCACGGGACTGTTATAGTCATGTACGGCGGCGGTGAGTGCGAAAACAAGTTATAGTTAGTTCTTACTTTGTTATTTTTGTTCTAATTCTCAGCATTCTTCGTTTTGTTGAATTCACAGATGAAGTTTCAGCTATAGTGATTGATCTGGGTTCACATACGTGTAAAGCTGGTTATGCCGGAGAAGATGCTCCCAAGGCCGTGTTTCCTTCTGTAATGTCTTCATTACACTTTTTATTTTTCTTCTTTTTAGATTTTTTATTTTAGTTTTGTATTTTTGTTGCTGCTTTCAATTTTATTTTGTGTAATTTTGGTTTGGCTTTTGGATTCTAGAGGTGTAGAATTGATTTGGAGTGACTTTGAGATGTTTTGTTCTTCTAATGTAGAATTGATTTGGCCTCCAGAATTTATTCTACTTGAGCTATAATTTGTGGCTTCTGAGTTTAAACGTGATTTTTACACTCTAATTTGTTGTTCAACTCACTTTTACATTAATGTATCCAAACATAATGACAAAGAGTTTTGTCTTGACTAATGTGAACTCAGGTTGTTGGAGCTATTGATCAAATGGACGTTGATGAATCGGATGATCCTGAAAAGAACCCTGGCTCTGGTGAATCGAAGAACAATAGTAGAAATGAGGGCGATAAAGCCAAGGGAAAGAGAAAATTGTATGTAGGATCTCAGTCCTTGGGCTACCGTAGAGATTTTATGGAGGTAAATTCTTTTGTAATGTCTTCTTGAATCTTGATTAGTTTTGAAATATGGCTTTCAAATTTTATAATTAATATTTGATGTACTTATTTTTTTATTTCATGATGTCAGGTACTGTCTCCACTGAAGGATGGACTTGTTGCTGACTGGGATATTGTTGACAGCATTTGGGATCATGCCTTCAGGTTTATACTGATAATATAATCTGTCTATGATAGTGTGTTGAAAAGAATAGAGAAAGGCCAAAGAGACTAGTAGAAACCATTCTATACTCCATATATGATTGACAATTTTGTTTCTGAAGAGCTTTATGTTAAAATCATGTAGTCGGCCCTATCTAGTGAAATACCTCTTGTGTTGTTTTGTTTCTGGTTTAATAATTTTCCCCTTGTATTATTCTTTTCTTTGAGTATTTTAAGTGACATACTTCATGAATTGATTAATCCTTACATTGGCAATTTTCTTTTTTAGTAGGGAGTGCCTATTGATTGATCCTAAAGAACATCCCATGCTCCTGGCAGAGCCTTCTTCCAATGCTCCACAACAGAGAGAAAGGTGTTCTGCCTGTAATTTATTATCCAGATTTAATGTAGCTCTGTTTTAAACATCAATATGCATAAGTCAGGTTGTTGTGATTCTTGCAGGGCAGCAGAGCTTATGTTTGAGAAATACAAAGCGCCTGCATTATTTTTGGCAAAAAATGCTGTAAGTGAATAGTCCTACACTAACCTATAGGCTATATCTCAACTTAAATAATATATGTTATCAAGAGAGAATGAAGAACTATTGAAATTTTACTCTTGTTTGACATATAGGTTCTGACCTCTTTTGCATCAGGGCGTGCCACATCATTAGTTGTTGATAGGTAAGAGATCATTAAGTTATATGTTTGCTAGTATATATTTATATATTTTTTAATTTAGTAGTATGATTAGTGATATTTATAATCATTTATGCATTTCAATAGCTAACTTTTTAACATATTTTACGTGGAAGAATGTTGGGTTAGAATTGGTATTTTAAATTAATAGGATATACTTTTGGTCAAAAAAATAAATTAATAGGATATACTAAATGTATTAGGATAGTATTGATGAAGCACCTTTGAAACAATGTGACCAAGAGCAAAGATTATATATGCACTGTTACACCAATTCGTCCTTGAACGAAACTGGCTGAGGAAGTTTCTTAAGAGCAGTTTCACAATTATATTTGAATAACAAACCTAACACGAAATTGAGAGCCCGTTCTTATCCAACCACCAACCGGTCCCACATAATGAATTCCACCCTTAATTCAAATCCCAAACTTCTAGTTATTGAGTTACATAATAAAACATAACCGACACATTTAACAATTAATTAATATAACTGCTCCTATAATAATATGATAACTACCACGCATAGTAATAATATATTAACGGCCTAATATATTTAGGTAAGGTCTAGCATATTGCTATGACTGTCCTATTTCACTATGCCCTACTTTTACTGAATATAGTAGTTGAATGATAAGCACTTGGAATTAGAGCAAAAATAATGGATATCAAAGCCCTTACAAGCAATGGTAGCTCTCTATTGAGAGACTAGAATTACATTGGAAATACAGGAAAGAAAAGAAGATATTACGTATACTTCCGCCCAAAGCCTCTCCACCTTAGTCGTTCAGGCCTGCCTCTCCCCGATCTTTTCCTCCCCTTCTATCCATACTCGTATCCAACTCCCTCCATTTCCCACATTCCTCGCCATGTTGAAGTATTTTCTATGGTATTATATTGCAGAAGGCCATGTTTGAAAGTTAAATATATTAGTTTACTTTTTAAGCTGCAATATAATGCTGGAAGCGTTGCTGACGAGAGGTTTTCTTATTATTCCATTGCTTTCAGTGGTGGAGGATCAACTACAGTTGCACCGGTTCATGATGGCTATGTTCTTCAGAAGGTATTTGTTATTAATGAATCAATTAGAATTCATTTGCCATTTAATTGAATCAAATCATATTTTCATTTGATAAAACTATATTTGATTTGGTATCCAATTTTTTGAAAAATAACCTGGTTGTAAAGTCTTTTAAATTTGTAATCGCTATTAATATTTACATGTCAATTTATCATATAGGTAGTGGCTAAGGTAGACAATAGGTTCCTAGAGAGGTTTTATTTAAGGCTGTAGAGATGAAAAATATTTGTACTTGTATTGTTTATAATTAAGCAATCAGAGATATGTATTGCTTATAATTAAGCAATCAGAGATATGTACCGTGGGTTCTGACTTGGATAAGAAACTATGTTCATAAGGTGAGAGTGGAACATCTAAGCAAGGATTTTCTATTACTATCGGTTTATGTCAAAGTTCAACTGAGTCCTTATCTTTTTCATCTTGGTTTAGATTTGCTCATCCGGCATAACCAAGGCAGGGCGTCATGGTGCATATTTTATGCATATGATATAGTTAGTTAGATAGAGAGTGGAGAGAAGGAATAGATTGAGCTTGAGAGTTGAGATAAGGCGACATCCTTTGGAAGCACATTCTTGTTTAAGTAGAAATAAAATACGGTATTAAATGCATGCACGTCTTGCCCAACATTGATTGGGGCCTAAAGTAAACTTGGAGAGACTTTTTTACTTTAAATGAGAGGGACTTGAGTTGAGTCTCTGTAATAGCAAGAGTTGCAAAAAAAGACCTTATAGGTAAAAATTGGAGATGGAAAATGGAAATAAATGCACAGCAGAAAAACTCAACATTAAAATCAGACCAGCATTGCAAAGATAAGAATGCTATGATGGAGAAGTGGTCACACAAGAAAAAATAAGGAATGATATCGTGGAAAAAGTGGGGGTAGCTTCTATTCTAGAATCTCATCTTTAGGTGCTTTGGACATGTAGAAGAAGATTAGAGTCAAATGATTAAGATTTTTGGTCAAATGGTCTGGATTTAGACATGATTCATGGTAGAATATTATAGACTTCTATGGTGAACAAGTATGATCTAGCCTATTATTTCGTAATTTGACCCATGTATCCGGCTCATCTAGATGAGAAGGATTTGATTGTTGTTTTAGTTAAATATGAAGAATGCACGTATTGGCATCATCTCCTTATTACTACTTAATCATTTATCATTTTGATTCTGCAAAAAAAAAAAATACATATGGTAGTTAAAAATTTATAATGGGTGTCTATAGATATACGAGACACTAATTATTGACTAGGAATTACTCCCTCCGCCTTACAAAAAGTGTCTCATTTGCATTTTTTGTCTCAAAATAATTGTCTTTTTACAATACCAATGCAACATTTATTATTATTTTTATTATTATTATTATTATTTCACTACTATACCCTTATTTATTACTTTTCACTCTATTCAACTACTCCACTAACTACAACTAATAAGGGTATTCTAGTAGATGGTACTTATTCTATCATTAAAATCAACACATCTAACAATTTTCTTAAGAACCGCACATTGCTTAAATAGAACATTTTTTTATGAGACGGAGGGAGTTAATTATGCTCCATATATTCATAATTTCTTTTGTTATGCTCTATATATTTAAGAATTCAAGATCTCATTCTAGCCCGTAATTGATATTTGGCTAATAACTAAGCATTTCTGTCTGATCATATCTTAACTATTTTTACAACACAAGGCTGTGGCAACCTCTCCAATCGGAGGAGAATTTCTTACAGACTGCTTGATGAAAAGCTTGGAAAGCAAGGGTATTGTGGTGGGTTACAAACACTAGGTATTATATTTGTCAACGATAAAGGTGCTTTGATTTTATCTGCCTGAGATTTTCCCTTATTTTGTACAGATGAAACCTAGGTATTCCTTTAAGAGGAAGGAAATACGCCCTGGAGAGTTTCAGGTATTATGTGTTTTCATGCTGACGACCTGTTTTTATGTGTATATATGAACCCCCCTTCCCTCCCCAAACACAAAGACAGAGAACCTGGTGGATATGGGAGTCCAGCTTCTGTATATTATTTCTATGTGCCTCCAGCACATCTGGATGGTTTTGTTACTCCATTTTCATCATCTTCATATACTGAGTGTTCAAGTTGGGGTTTCTTATATCTTGTATCGCTTATGAATCAAATTTCATAACATTTGCACGTGTCATTACACTGCTACGATGTGAATTGAGCTGGATGGGATCTGTTCAAAATATTTCTGCAAAAGTTGTGCCAAGAAGATTAGTTTTAAAAAAAAAAAGTATCAGAGATAATGGTGTTAGCTGTTTGTATACATTTTCTTTATCTTAGTTACATTTGTAACCCCATGTCTATTCTTGCTTTTATATCGACTATTCAATTTAAAAAACTCTAGAACTTTTGGGGCAAATGAGAGTAAGCAAAAATCCCATTATTTTCTTATTCATTGCATTAAACTGATTTTGAAAAACCTTTCAATATGATTTTGGTTGTAATTAATTGCATCAATGATTTTTTATTTATTTTATCATTTCTGAATCTTACAGACGGTAGATTTGGATTTTCCAAATACAACTGAAAGCTACAAACTCTACTCCCAGGTCTGTCACTGATCATGTTTTGTCTCATAAATGTCATGTTTCATATATCTAGTAACTATTTTATTGTGACAGAGGGCGATTGCTAGTGATATCAAGGAATGTGTGTGCCGCGCCCCAGATACTCCATATGATGGTTTGTATGCCTGTTGTTCTCATCTCATATAATATGTGAATCTTGTTATCCTCTGCTTGTTCTTGTTTAAGACATTTTTTGGAGGCAGTCTAATAAGATAACTTGATTTGTCATCTCTTGTAATTTGATTTGCTTTTACTCGGTATATGTGCTTTGAGGTGGGTTGCATGTGATGCTTTTTCAATGATCTGAGTTAATGATAAACCTAGACATACATGTTTTTCAGTTTAGTTATTATAGCTCTTGTAGATGCTTATATCTTCTCGACTCCATTAGAAGTTCCCATATATGACATCTATGTTTCTACTTTATTTGGCAGAGAGTGCATATTCCAACATCCCAACAACCTCGTATGAGCTTCCTGATGGCCAGTAAGTTGCAGTTACTCTTGCTCATAGAATTAGTGAGAGGGGGGGTGATTGAGTTATGTTTCATCTTGAAATCTTGATAACACATGTTTCTAGTATTCGCTGTCAGATATATTTCATAGCGTAATTATTACTTCTTGGTGTGAGGTTGTCATGACCGTTTTTTTTTCAAATTGTATACCATAGGACAATTGAAGTTGGAGCTGATAGATTTAAGATTCCAGATGTTCTTTTCAATCCATCCGTGGCTCAGGTATGTGACCTAAAAGATTTATTGTGCATTTTCTTGCAAGTATTTTGAACTTCTGGCATGGGTTCAAAGAAAAAGGTGCCCTGAGACTCCTTATAGCATAAAGCAAAAGCATATAGAATACAATTAGACAGACTCTAAACCAATATGTTGTGAAAGTAAAAGTGTATCATATAGTAAAACATGACATCTATACATTTGCATTTTAAGTCAGATTTGGCACCATATGGCTAACAAATTTTGATAAATCAAAATGCAAGTATTGGTCCCTTAAAAAAGTAAAAAGGTCATAAATGATTATTTAGTAAAATATAATCTAATTATCATCATGCCTATCAGAGGCCTACATGTGAGAGTCATTTTATTTTGAATGTACTGTATTAAATTAAAAAAAGTGTAGCTTCTTCAAAGTATCTTTCTACAACCTTGCTCTGTGCCCTTGCTAAATTTTCTCATAGATTGGTTGGGTGTTAAATTAAGGTTGCACTGTGCAAACTTGTTTGATCGGTTTTTGTTGTACTTATATTTTTTCTTGCTGTTTTGTATATTACTTAACAATCAATATTCTATTATTTTGCTCTTATGTCTTTTTTATGTAAATTGCAGTCAATTCCAGGCATGGAGAGCTTTGCAGAAATTGCTCCTTCAGTTCGAGGGCTTCCTCAAATGGTAAGATATTTGATGTGTTTGTTTAGAGTATCTCAAGACTCAGATAGTGGAATAAGGCTTCAGTTGCTGTTGTTTTAAGTATTTCAAATGGTTGAGCATAATTCAATATCTAGGGTTAGAAGGATATGACGGGTAAAATTGTAGGCCGACCCATTAGAAAGACTTGCTTTTATGCGGTCTCTTTAGACGTGATTTGGACATTATGACATCATTTGATTCATGTAGCTGATCTCAGCAAGGGAAATTTTTTTATTGTAGTCATTGTTTTTGTTTTTAGGGTTTTACATTTCTGTTTCTGATTAGTTTACGTTCCTTTGAACATCTGCAGGTTATTGAAAGCATTAATAAGTGTGATGTTGACATTCGAAGAGAATTGTTTAGTAGCATACTGGTAATGCTATTATTGTTTCCTTATATCTCCTTTCCTGTGTACATATACTCTAGCCAGTTCCTATAAATTTAGCACAAAGACTTTTAGCGTCTAAAATAAAAATGGATACATGGCTAGTCTGCACACATATAAACCCGTCCCATAACCATTTTGATGGGAGCATAGTTGGAGCCCCGTGCAATGGGCCATCCTTTCTGATTGAGAATTTTGAGATATTTTGAGTACTGAATAATAAGCAAGATTATTTAGTTTTGTGATATCATTTTGAGTATTGAATAATACTCATTGAAACTCATTTTTCAATCAACAAATACTGGCTGAAACCATATGATGTACATATATCGCCAAGTTAGGATAGGTTTTGCCTTTTTGGTGTACTGAATATAATGATGGAAGCATATTATACAAATTCATTTACCTGCTTGTTTAAAGTTGATTTCATTTCTATTTCAGCTTGCTGGCGGCACAGCTTCAATGCAACAACTGAAGGAACGCCTTGAGAAAGATTTGCTAGAGGTATGGTGTAACTCATGAGCCCTTGTTGTTTATCTTTCAATTCTTGTTGTTTTAAAGTGGTGATTTCAAAGGTTAACATTTTCTTCTTTCTCAAATCGTTTTTCTGCGAGCCTGAATTATAGCATTGTAAGGCTTAGTTGTTACTGCTGTGCTGTTGTTTACTGTCTCTCAACCTAGTTGGTCTATGTTTGCTATGCTCAGTTGCAGACTTCCATAGTACAGCTGAATGTCTGCTTCAGCTGTCTTGTTTCTTACACTATGTTTTCCCAATTCCTTTCTGACTTTTGTTTCTTACGAGATGTTAAGCACGGGATTAAGGCATCTGTCCAATGTCTAATTCTTGAATTTTAGTCCAAGGTTGCTTACTTGGCAGCTTATATAAGTTAGGACTCGGGTGTTTGGGGGGTAAACAATTTAATTAACTTTTATTTATTAAGCACTAATCATATTAATTAAGAACTTGTGTAAATTGTAGAAGTCGTATCTATGAACTACGTAAGTGAACTTATGATAACTTTGAAACACAATGCTTGTGTGATAGGATAAGTTCAAATAAACGTTCCAAGTTCCAAACTCCCTATAAATATATTTGGCTCCTGAGCTAGGTTTTTGGAGTGTTGGCTGCTTTTGTTAATCAGTCGTGACTTTCAAATGTAATTTTGAAGAGAGGTCTATGCTCATTGTTTTCTTTTGTGTGTTTCTTTGGTCGTCTTGCAAAGAAGTGGAGAGTTCTCTTTTGAGCTAATGTATTTTTCCTTTTGTCCACATTTATCTTAGTTTGATACCTTTTCTAGTGAATTATCTCAATAAAATATAAATTTTATTGTGACATGGTGATTTAGAAGGTAAAAAGCCAATGGAATTTAAAAGCTCGGGAATGTTTAACTGAAATGCTCTCTTTTCATCAAGTGCTTGAAACATTTTATCACTAATGCTGTTTAAAACATTTGAAAGTTTTTGTAGGGAAAATAGAGTGTTAAATTATGAAGCACAGTGCTCTGAAAGAACATAGGAAAGCATGTAGTGGAATTCTATGTTCTTCGGGCACTTTTTAAAGATAGTCCAATTGGAAACATTTATCACAAAATGAACAAGACATTGAATTTATATATACTATTATGGATATATCAACACATTGGATTGTTTTGAAGTATATTATCATTCAAATGTGATTGCCGGTGTCCTCTATATAGCTCGAAAAGTTAGATGTAAAAATTGACTAAAATTTCATTTGTGATGCAGGAATCCCCTCAGGCTGCTAGAGTAAAGGTATTGGCCAGTGGTAATGCTACTGAAAGGAGGTTTAGGTGCGATCTCTATCTATGGGGAGTGATTATTTATGCATAGTATGAACTGTTTTCTAACTCGTGATAATGATTTTTGGGCAGTGTCTGGATAGGAGGCAGTATACTGGCTTCTCTTGGCTCCTTCCAGCAAATGTGGTTCTCCAAATCCGAGTAATCTCCCTCACCCTATCATAAGAAAATCATAACTATGAAATAAGCTTCAAAATTTTCTCATGGAGATTAATTTAAACACTAAACTGTTTTAATGCACTCTGATAGGTATGAAGAGCATGGAGCTTCATATATCCAAAGGAAGTGTCCTTGAATTGCGATTGGTACGAGGATCTCGCTACTGATTTATCTTGGTGTGGAGGAAGTTCTCTCATGAACCTTGAAGTAGTGGTTGTGTCTACCAATGGTTTTTTCTTGCGCTGTTAATGGCTATTTATCCTCATTGGATCACAGTCCTACTACATTGTTGACCTCAAGATGGATCACAATCTAATTATTACTGTAACCTATTCTGATGTGGAGTGTGCTTAGAGTCTGTAATATTTTCCTATTTAACAAATTGAGTTTCACTTCTGTATAAATTAAATTCAACTGGTCATGAGAATTGCCATTTACATATAATTATTTACTAGTTTCATTTGATAAATAGTTTTGATTGTCGTAAAAATGGTATACTTTTCGATGCTGTATTGCTGTGTATTGTTATGTGTATGGGGGGTAAATACATAAGGATCAAATGGGAGGGATGGTTTGGACAATCAATGGAGAGAAGACTTTTTAGGAGGGGATTTCAATGGGCATGTAGGTAGCGTGGCAAGAGGTTGAGAGTGTGCATAGAGGTTTTGAGAGTGTGCATGGGGTCTTGGTCTAGGGGAGGTGAATGCGGAGGGTAAATTTATTTTGGAGTTTTCGCCGGCTTTATATCTTTCTATAGTCAATACATGGTTCAGGAAAAAAGATGAATATTTTATCACATATAAAAGTAGAGGGACATGTTCTCAGATAGATTTCTTTCTTATCAGAAAGTTTGATAGGAAGTATTGATTGAATTGTAAAGTTATCTTGAGAGAGAGTTTGATTATCCAACATAGAGTATTGGTTATGGATGTAAGAATTAAAGAAAGGGTAAAGAGAAGAAGTCCTATGGTAGCACCAAGGATCAAATGGTGGCATTTGAAGGGTGAGAAACAAGGAATTTTCCAATAAAAGATATGAGAGGGATGATTTAGACAATCACAAAGAAGTACAAATGATATGTGGAACAAGATGACCCAAGAGATTAGAAAAGTTTGGGTGAATCTAGAGGTTTTGGACCTAGGGGTAAAGAATCGTGGTGGTGGAATGAAAGTGTCCAGAGTAAAGTTAAAGTAAAAAATGAATGTTTTAAAGAGTGGTCTAGGTGTAGAAATGTTGAAACTTGGGAAAAGTACAAGATAGCTAAAAATGAAAGCAAAAAGGCGGTGAGTGAAGCAAGAACCCAAATTTTTGATGGATTATACCAATCTCTAGGAACCAAGGAGGGAGAAAGATCTATACATAGGCTTGTTAAGGGAAGAGAAATAAAGACTAAAGAAGGCAAAGTCTTAGTGCAGAAAAAAGATATAAAGGATAGATGGAAGACGTATTTCCACAACTTATTTAATGATGGATATGAGTACGACTCTAGCATACTAGACATAAGAGAAAAGAGGATGGAAACTATAGTTACTATCGTCGGATTCAGAAACAGGAGATAAATGAAGCGTTGAAAAGAATGAGTAATAATAAGGCGGTGGGGTCAGACAACAAACCTATTGAAGTGTGAAAAATTCTTGGAGATAGAGATAACTGAGTGGCTCACCAAACTCTAATAAAATTATGAGGTCAAAACACATGCCAGATGAATGGGGGAGAAGCACTTTAGTCCATATCTATAAGAACAAATGGGATATATAAAATTGTGCAAATTATAGGGGATTCAAGCTTATGAGTCATACCATGAAATTATGGGAAAAAATGATTGAACGAAGATTAAGAAAAGAGACTCGAGCTACTGAGAATCAATTTGGTTTTATGTCGGGAAGGTCGACCATGGAAGCAGTTTATATATTACGGCGAGTGATGGATCAATATTGAATAGACCAGCAAGACTTGCACTTGATTTTTATTGTCTTAAAGAAGGCGTATGATAGAGTGTCTAGAGAGATTCTATGGAAAGTTCTAGAGAAGAAAGAGGTAGGGTTGCATATATTCGAGCTATCCAAGATATGTATGAAAGAGTATCGACTAGTGTTAGAACACATGGTGAAGAGACAAATGATTTTTCCATCACAATTGATTTGCATCAAGGGTCAACCCTAAGTCCTACCTTTTTACCTTAATTTGGATGTATTGACGAAACAAATTCAAGAGATAGCTCCGAGATGCATGCTTTTTGCAGATGATATAGTCCTCCTTGGAGAGTCAAGGTATGAGTTAAATGAGAGGTTTGAGACTTGGAGAAGAGATTTAGAAACACATGGTTTTTGCCTAAGCAGAAGTAAGTCGGAGTATACGGAATGTAAGTTCAACAAAAGAAGCAGAGTTTCTAACTTAGAGGTGAAAGTAGAAGACCATATTATCCCTCAAGTCACACGGTTTTAATATCTTGGATCCATAATATATAGAGAAATAGAAGGGGACGTAAATCATCGTATTCAAGCTGGATGGATGAAATGGAGAAAGACATCAGGTGTTTTATGTGATGCAAAGGTACCGCTCAAGCTAAAAGAAAAGTATTATAAGACTGCGGTAAGATCTGCGATTTTGTACGGGACAAAATGTTAGACGGTTAAGAATCAACACGAGAATAAAGTAGGTGTAGAGGAAATGAGGATATTATGGTGGATGTGTGGTAAGACTCGACAAGATAAAATTAGAAATGAAATTATTAGAGAGAGTGTTGTAGTAGCGTCTATTGTAGAGAAGATGGTGGAAAATAGACTTAGGTGGTTTGGGCATGTAGAGAGAAGACTTATAGACTCTAGTAAAGAGAATAGATCAGATGAAGAGAAGACAAACAATTCGAAGAAGACCCAAAAAGACTATAAGAGAAGTTATAAGGAAGGATCTCGAAATTAATGATTTTGATAGAATATTATGGTAAAAGTTGATCCATGTAGCCGAATCCACCTAATGAGATAAGATGTAGTAAGTTGTTGTTATATGGGGTAAATACACATTTTAGTTTTACTCTTTAAAAATGAGAATCTTAACATTTGTACAAAGGATGCATAATTGATAAATTAATATATAACTTGTTTGTATTTAGGCTTGTCATTCATGGAAGCGTATTCTAGTAAAAGTTGAATACCCATGAATTCAAAGCATTGTGCAAAGACAACCGTCATGATAAAAACAACAACTATTGTCATAAAGTAATAACTTTTGACATATATAATGTAGGTGAGTGTATTAGAGTATGATGAATAAAATATTCTAGAATAAAATCAAAGATATGCTCGAAATATATATGAATGACATGATCGTAATTTATTGGTTGGAGATAAACCACATGGTCCATTTGGAAGAAGTATTCAAAAAAGTCGGAATCTTAACTAAATTTGGCCAAGGAAATGGGCACACGAAACATGACAATAAAATCAGACTCTTAATTCATCTTATCTCGAGTAAGAGGAGAGTACCAAGTCAAAAACTTGATTATGCAGAAGTACACACACCGTTAATGAAATAAATAATGGTTGTGTTCACTTTCATGGACGAGAGTGCAAGTGTTAGCTTGAGAATTTTAACTTGGCGTTTTGACATGTAGGTGTGGTATAAAGGTATAAAAATGCTGAGTTTAAGATAACTAAACTATAGTTTTGATATATTAATCGTTTCGATAAAGGTGTGATAAGTTCGATTCGCCTATCAGATGTTTTAGGACTTAGCATATTTTGGAGTCTAAGGATTGGATGATATAAATGCGTTTTAACACCTGTTTCCAAGATTCGATAAGAGAACTTTTCGACAGAGGCAGTTAGAGGGTTTAAAGGCAGTTTGTAGGAGCAATTTGAGGCCGTTTGTGAACCAAATACACGTGAAAACACGTCAGAAGACATAAGCCCACATATGAAGATACATGTCGAATTTCAGAGAAGTAACCGTTTTCGACAGTTATTGATGTACATAGTATATAAATAGATTTGATATCTAGGACCAGGGTTCACATCTTCATTCTACTCTCTTTAGAATTCAGACATCCGAGTTATAGAGGTAAAGAATTTATGAGAAATATATGAACTTGTCTTTCACTTTTAATGTAAGCATTTTTACTTTGCTTTGTACTATTTTTTTTATTTACTTTATCCTTTCAAGCAATTATGCACTTTACTTCTTGAAATTTCTAGGCAATTGCTCTAAATTCAAACGCCAAACTTATAAGGATGAATACACTTTCTCCAATTTTTACACAAATTGCCCTTAGGATATTTTCGAGTTTAATCCTTAAGTGAACTAAAATTTATGATTATCTATCATATAAGAAAATAAGATGCTCTGGAAATCACGAATAACCCTTTTTTTTGTGATTAACCAAAGTTTATTTTCTGAAGGATACTAATGTCTTCACATGTTTGGCCGAAATGCATTTATTGTTGTGGAGGCAAAAGTGCTCGGATTGACATAAAATAACTTTATACTATTAAGTAATCAAATTTTGTCTTCACCCTATGTGAATCTTTTCAAATTCTGCACAAATAATGTGGAGGGAAAATTTCTGTCATAAATATGAAACCTTTCAATGCTTGCAAATCATTTTCCCTTCCACCCTATAAATATACATGCATCCATTATAAACAGATAAGCAACTGCAACATCCATACCGCTTATTTGTTGTAAGCTGTTTTGTTCTTGCGGTTTTTTGATGTTGTTGTGGTTTAATCTTATTTCTTCAACTTCATCACGAATATACATTTTTTGATGTTGTTGTGGTTTAATCTTATTTCTTCAACTTTTCCATTCAACCTTAATAAATATGCAATATTTTGGCTTTGGTCTCTTTTTGTTTGTTCCGTTCATGGATGATCGATTCGCTGTCGTGCACGGATCAAAATTGATAATTTTAAAATTGTAGTTTAGCGACAATGGCTCGAATATCGTATCACGAGGATTCTTGTATTGTTATTAACTAACCAAAGAGATTATTGGGGGTTTGTTTCGATTTAGGATTTGATTAAGAAAACAGAGTAAATAAGTAATTATCGAAATAAGTGATTATAACAGGTTACTCTATCGGTTCGACTTCAAATTTATCATTGGTCATTACAATTCCAATTCCCTAAGCGGTTCCAA